AGCAGGAGGATGAAATTTTTATTGCTTGGATTTTAAAGCATTGGTGAGATCACAGTGTGCCTTACAGCACCCAGCTTGGGCCTCTGGCCTTCAGACAGGACTTCAGCAGTGGGAAGGACTGCCAAAGAGCTAAGCTTAATGAGAAAACTGCTACGTGATGAGAATCTAGACAGATTTAATCTTTTAAATGGTTGATACGTATCTTTTTTTAGCCTGCAGATGTGTCAAGTAAAGAGATTATTGCTCCCAGTAGGCAGTTGCTGTTTTCTAAGCAATTTTAATAAAAGTTGTGCACTGACAAAGGTCTGCTGTTGAAACTGATTTTGGCTGTCCTGGGTCATTTTCACTGAAATGACTGAAAGGAGCAGGTTTCAGAGTACTTAAGCAGGCAGTTAAGAAAGCACTAGCTTCTGGCTAAGGGATGTGATGAGCAGGATGGAAGAAGGAGTCACTTTGCTGGGCACAAGACAGGAGCCTGTTTCTGATTTCACTTGAGCCAAGAGAAGTGTAAAACTCCATGGCTGATACCAAAGATGGTTTCAGTTACCTGCACAAAGCATCTAGTGTCCCCTGGAGTACCCTGTGGTATTCTGGACACGTGCACAGAGACTCAGAGCCTGCAGTAGACTTCCCCTTTTCTGCATTGACAGTCAGAGAGCAGGCAGGTACTGAGAGGGCATCTCTAAGCTCATTAGATACCTGTATTTGGCTAGCTGAATCCTGCCAGATGGAAGGAGGATTCTTAGTTGGAGAAGGCTCTTCAGGGAACTGTATTGAGCTGTAATAAGATTTAGTAGCTGGAAGCTGAAACTAGGAGGGTTCAGTGTAGAAACTGAGTCAGCTTTGGCTTGGAAAAAGTTCATGAGCCACTGGTCTGAAGGGAGGAAAACTTCCCCTCTGGTCCTTGAACACGTTTGTCATCCTGCTTCATCCAAAGTACTTTGTGTGATTTACAGGCAGAATTGCTAAATAAAACAGAACAGCCCTTCTTGTGCAAGAAATAGGATTGGGTTGCAATGGCTTTGAAAGTATATGAACATGACATAGGCGTTAAAAAAAAAACACAAGCCATCTGTTTTCTTATTTCTAGGTGTACCATTCCCAAAGAACTTCATGTCAGTGGCAAAGACAATTTTAAAGCGTCTCTTCAGAGTTTATGCTCACATTTATCACCAGCACTTTGATCCAGTAATCCAGCTACAGGAAGAGGCACACCTTAACACTTCTTTCAAGCACTTTATATTTTTTGTTCAGGTAAGTTTTTTGTTCAGGCAGGAGTATTATGGTTACATTCATATTCTGGGAAGTCATGTGGCAAAAAATCTTCTAATAGTTAGTAAGTTTATAGGAGAGTCTAAGGACCCCAGGATAGTATCTTACTCTATTTTTATGTATTTTTACTGCTAGGAGCATTCAAGGAAGGGAAGAGTATTCAACAAAGTGTTTGCTTGCTGCAAACATGAATACCCTACCAAAGAATTCAGAAGAACAGTAATTCTTAACAAAAGAAGTAGGCAAGACAGCACCTGAAACTAGATTGAAAAGAGTGTGCTTGCCTCAAAGCTACATTATCTCTTTTAAAAAAGAAAAAAGGATTTTCCTACTTTTCTTTCCTTTTAGTAGGGGCAAAAAGCTTTACGCAGTCAAGCACTGCTGTTCAGCTGGCAGCAGACAGGCAGAAAATGCTGCTAAGCCTGGACTGGAATAGCCTTCTGTCAAATAACTTCTGTTGGAATAAGACTTCTCACCTGAACTGTAAAGATAAAAACCAGTATGTATGTCTTTCTCTTCATCCTTGTTACAGGAATTCAACCTTATTGATAGAAGAGAACTTGCACCACTTCAAGAACTGATCGAAAAACTCACCTCTAAGGACAGATAAAAGGAATAGGATTTCTTGAAGTCACTTATTTCTTTAAGCAAGTGTGTGGTATTGTTTTTTGTTCATGTGTCTTTTTTTTTTAAATCCAATACGAAAACCTGTGCTGTTACTCCTGACAGCAAAGATCCACTTTCTGTGCTTTTATTAGGGGAGATCTTTTTATCTGTTAGTGACATGCAGTAAATAGCCTTTTTTTTTTGTTGTTTGGTTTGGTTTTTTGTATTGTTACTCATTGTGGATTTTTAGCAGGTGCTGAGTGTTGATACCAGAAACATGCTTGGTTGGGGGACAGACTCTGCTGGTGGATGGGTTCTTGTGTTGTGTCAGTGGTAGCCCATTCTCATGAAGTCCCTGGAAGACTTGCATACATTCTCTTAAGTGCCTTGGCAGACTCACTTCTGAGGTGCAAAGCACATACAATACTGAGCATTGCTGGAAACAGAAAATATGAACTAACACCCAGGACACTTACTGATACTTGTTTTAGAAAAATATATATATGCTTACACTAAAAAAAAAAGCCATAACTTAGTGAAATCAATGATCTCCAGCTTTTAATACAAATATTTGTCCTATTTTTGTAGAGATGAATATAGATTTTTTTCCAAAGTAGGTATTTCTTTTATAAGATGGTGAAGTTCTAGTGGCTAAAGCAAAACAATGAAGGTTGTGTCAAAATGGTAAAGAACCTGTGCTTAGTACATGTCTGTTGCCATTGGTTTTGGCTTTTCATGGTTGCTTTTATTTTTTTAACAGGGAATCATCAACTTGGGTCAGTCACTTTTGTTAAGTTTCCTAGCATTTGCCAAATGAACCATTAGTTTGCACAAATAGAGTAAGGGAAAATACTCAATATATTTTAAAAAAATGCACTAGGGTAATACTAAATAAAAGTCTGGCTTGAAAAATAACTAGCAAAATGTTAGGAATAAGAAGCCTGGTTCTGTGGAGGAGCTCTGGTGGCCAGTGTTTCCTGTGGTAGGAAATGTATCCTGGATGGAATATAGCACCATGGACCACTTTGGATTTGCATGAGTGTGGAGGTGTTTTCCCCCATTTAAAATTGCAGTCTGTCTCCAAGGAACTACTGCAGCATTTGGGAAAAGTAATAAGAACCTACTGGTGACTTGTTAGTGGTTTGTAATTTGGTGAGTGCATCTTCTGCTTCTGAGAGAACTGAACCAAAACATAGCCTTCCCCCCCGCCCCCCAAGTCATTGTCTGCTCTTCTCTAGCCTTGCCTTTTCTCAGACCACAAATTAGAAGTTAACCTCTCAGGTGATCTACAGTCCTGAGTCAAGTGGGAAATACTGTGCAGCAGCCTGCAAAATATATATGTAAGTGGCATTAGTATAGCCAGCTAATCAACATCTAAGCACAGTAACAAACATGCTGTCATTTTTGAGACTGGAATGAGCTACTTCTGAGCTAAAAAAAGGTATTTCAGAAGCTTTTGAAGGTTATTTTAAGAACTATGTTGTCTTCAGTGCAGTTACGTTTCCTAGTCTGTTGAAATGTTTTGTTACCTCTTCTGTGTTTCTCTTTAACAAACTCCTAGTTTAAAATGGTGGAGTACCTTCTCCTTTCTCAGTCACTAAAGGTTTTGACTCTTCCATGTGTGTACACAAATGTGGGAGAAGAGGGGAGATGCTAAATGTCTGCCACTTCTTCAGCGAGTTGGGGGCTGGAAAAATAAGCACGAGGCATAAGAAAATCAGAGGCAAAGTGAGCAGGAGCACAATTTCCTTTCCTTTGGCAAGTCACCTGTGACTGCAGTATTCACCCCAGTGGTTTTGACAGTCCTCCTGTTTGTGGGACGTATCTGGTCTGGCAAACAGTAGATTTCCCCATGGAATTCTGTTGGCCAGTGGAAGGGTCAGTCAGTGCTGTAGCACCTAAGTGCTGCTATCTGCGGTTGAGTAATGGGCTGATGGGAGGAGCTGCCATGGGCAGAATACCTCGTGTTGGAGTGGGCAAGTACCAACTTGTTGAGCAGTTGGAGAAAACCATTCCTTTGGTATGCACCATCCCTTCTATGTACTGGGTAGCTGGGAATCCAGTACTTGAGTGCCAATGTGCATCATCCATGAGGTCTCTGAGCTGCAGGGTTTCTTTACCTGACCTCCCATCTGGAGGTGACCACAGGAGCCTGGTTTGGAAGCAGTGGGACACCAGCAGTAGCTTTGGGTGCAGGGTCAGAGGGCTCTCTTGCTTCAGGACTGAATAATACAGAAAACCATCATCTTTTTTCAGAGTTAGGGGAGAGGTCAGTGCCCACCTGACTATCCAAAAGTAGCCCAACTCCCAAATTGGAGCTGCAGCATTTTATACAGGCTGCAGTTGTGCAGCAAGCTGAATTTGAGAATGTGATCTTGGACATGAAGCCTTTTATGTGTGCTTCTGTCTGAGGAGTGTTCAGTGATGTAACATTTCCAGCTACAGAGGTGTGTGGAGTGCTTCAGATGCAGTTTGATCTGAAAACATCTGTAAACTATCCCTGGTAAACTGCTATGCTGAGTGGAGTCAGTGCTGCCCAGGAGGCTGCGTCTGCACAGTCCCTATGCTGGTAACTGACTGGAGAGGAGCCTTTTAACCAGGGCTGGAGCTCACCTTCTCACACTGCAGCAAGACAGGAGAGGGAGAGCAGCAGAAGCCTGGTCCAAGGTGCTCAGGAGGAGGTATATCCTCCTCCTGTCACTGGCTTGGTGTCATCTACCAGCAAAAAAAAACTCAAAAGAAAAACATTTAGAAGTGATGATTAGGTTGAAGTGGTACCAGTGCAATAGTTCTTACTTTTGGCATACTTAGACTCTGGAAGGTTTTTTTTGGTTGTTTTTTGTAAATGGCCAATTCTAAAATTCTGAGATAGCTTCTGCAGTTCAGCCAATCAGAATTATAATGTAGTATGTAACAAGAATTAGTCTTATATGGATAGTGTAATTTTTGTATTTAATATCTGGCAGTTAAACACTTTAACAGAATAGATTCTAGGCATGTAATAAAAGCTTGGAGATCATGATTTGCCTGACAGCTGTATGAACACATTGTTCACACATACCACACTTGAAAACAACAACATTAAAGATAAGTATGCGGTGTTTGGGATTTCATATCCCTAGGCTGTTCATGTTTGCAGCTTTTAAATGTTTTTTGCTTCAAAAAGAAGTGGGACCAGAAGCTTACACCCTTGGAGTAGAGGCACACTGAGGCGCGAAGCAGAAGTTGCCACGTTGTACCAATGGAACCTGGATCAAGTGAATGTGTTTCTGAAATAGTGCATTTGGTGGGAGGGGAAAGAGGAGGACACCCCTTCCCCCCTCAAATAAAACCCAGAAAAAAAACAACAACCCGTGCTGCTCTAGGCCTATGTTACGGGTGGACTCTGTGTTGTGAGCATTTGGGGCAAAAATGTTCAGCTTTGTTATCAGACGTGGAAGCTGCTGGTGGGGTTAAAGCAGGCTGGGCTGCTAGTGCTGGCTGTGGCCTTCCTGTGTAAAAGGGTCCTCAAATTCTATGTTTTGGGGTGCTTTTCAGCTACCAGTGTATCAGACCGCATCAGCGATTTGGGGGGGTCACTTCAGGAGGTCATCTACCTCGAGATGGGATGGGGCAAACTGCTAAGTTCAACAAGTTCAGCTGCCATTCCCAGCGTGGATGCTGTTTAGATGGTGTGGATACATTATGTTGACAGAAATAATTGTTCCAGTCTTTCAAATTCAAGTCAGGGATACAAGTGAATCTGCAAATAGAAAATGAAAAGGCCACATTCTGCTGTTGCAGGTAGCTGAATGGTAGAGGAAGGGAGAAAACAGGTTTTCAAGGGACAGGTGGCCTGTCAGCAAGTATCAAGTTTTTTTTACTGCTTACTATGCAATGTAGAGCTTTGAACTTTCGCTTTCAAAGATATAGAGGAGCACTGTCCTTATTCAGTATTTAGGAACTGAACACTCTCCCAGTCTCCCTGACACTCATTTAACAGGTAAGGATACCTATTTGCTGCTATGGACTTTACTTACCTTTGAGATAGTTCCTTTGTTTCTCACCTCATCCCATTCTCTTGACTCATCAGACACAATTTTGCTATAAACACCTCCTTCTTGGATAGTTGTTCTTTCCCTTGCTGCCCTCTTCCCAATTCCTACCTGCCAGAGTGCTGTATTACTGTATATAAACCACCCCCTTTTAGTTGGACTGTTTAAAAGGCTGCAGCACAAACACAGGCTCCTTGTTTTTCTTTCACAAAAAGTTTCCTTGTTACCCTCAATCTTCTTTCCTTTACTGCTGAGGTCAGTTCTCTTTTTTCCAAACTGCACTACTAAAACCACTAGCAGTTTTTATGGAGGCCTGATGTCTTTTCCTGGATAGCTTCTAGGATGAGACTAACATTGGTTACTTACAAGTGTTAAACCTTCTTATATTCCTGCTTTTCTTACCATTTCCTCTTGCCAGGTTAGGATTACAGTCTAGGTAAATACCAAACTCCTTTTTTTGTTTGAAGAACCAATTCCCTAAACTGTTCATAGAGTATTGTATTTTTAGGGGAGATTGATTTTTATAGCCACTAAACTATACTCATTATTTTTGTATGTTTGCAACTTCTGACATTTTTCAGAGACATGTCATAGAGGGAACACTTATTTTCATGGCTGTTTTACTACTTGGCTCTGCTGTGGTTGTGTAGTACCTAGAAGCACACATCTCCATGTGCAAGGGAAGAGAGAGAAGAATGCAATAAAACTGAATGAGCTTTTGATAATAGGCCATTTTTCGAAGGCAAAAAAAATAATAAAATTAGAAAGCAACACTAACCTTTCCTCCTTCTTTAGAATTCTGAAATATGAGAGAATATGTGGTGTAAAATATAAAATGCAAGATGAGAACCCTTACTGTAAGCTAACTGTGCCAATCTCTCTTCAGTTTGTAGTCACTGATGGATATTTTAGTTTTAAATAACAGCTTTTGATTAAAAAAAATTGAATGTCTGCAAATCTGCAACATGTTTATTTGAGAGTTGTAAATAATGTATACAGATTGTTGTATGTGATGGGACAGAATATTTAAATTCTAGATTTTTTTCAATAAGAAACTGAAGGCTGTTTATAAGAGAAAATAAATAGCTATGTTTGACCACGATTGTCTTCATTTCCTTCTTGAAGTCTTTTCTAAATCATCTTCCTTTGTAGGTGGATTTTTTTCCCCTGTATATTTACCCATACAAACGTCACCCAGACAGATTAGATTTCTGTCACTGCCCTGTCTGCATTTGTGACTGTATCGCATGCAGACACAGCAGCAATAAAACAACCTGATACCCTTTTCATTCCCTTGTTTCATGACCTGAATTCACCTGGATCGGACGGAGCTCTGTGTAGGATTGCTGATACCAACTGGAATCTGTCAGTAACCGCCCCTCGGCACCAGGCCAGGGGTGGTTTTGAGAGCTTCGCCAAGAGCACTCGGCTCCCTCCGCCCCGCCTTTTTGTTTTTCCCCTCTTATAAGCTTCCTCTGTTCCCTCTGCCACCTCTGTCTCCGAGGCACCCACCCCCTGTGTCCCCTCTCTGTGCCACCGGGCTGGGCAGGTGGGCAGACACCTGTTGCTGCAGCCCCCGCGCGTGGGGCTGCGGGGTCGGCCCAGGACCGCGAGGAGTCTCTTGATGCTGTTCCAGCCGCC